ACGACGATTGCGAGCATAGTGCGCCGAAATCGCTCAAGGCTGCAATGTAGCATCCTCGGAGGGACATGCCAAAGCGGGGGGGGCTGGGTTGGCTATAGGACGGAGGAGGAAGAGGATGATGATGAGAAGGAGGAGGAGGAGGAGGAGGAGGAGGAGCAGGAGGAGGAGAAGGAGGAAGAGGCAGACCCCCCTCCTCCCCTCGGCCCCCCTCTTTCCACTCTTTACGATGGACTTTCCTACCAACCTCCGAACCTACAGGCGAGATCCTCAGTCCCCGATGGTAGCGTTGACCGGCCAGCGCTCTCCAAGATATCCCTTCGCCGAGCTCGCAACTCGTGGGGTCGTACTGAGGGTATGTCAGCCCCCATTTAGCTTCCTCCCAGACGGTGGTGATAATGCCTGGAAGACGCCACGTCTCAAGCGCGCTAGCTATCGCAGACCTTCCACCAGGTGACCTCGCTCTGATCCACAACATATCCTATTGCAATTGCGGGTCGAAGCGAGGTCGCCCCATTGGCGCCTGGTCTGGATAACCAACACAATGAGGGTTTACGTTTTACGAGATCCTGGGACACCTTGATGCTCCGCTGCCATCCAGAAGTCCAGACATGGCCCGAGCTTGGTCCAGTCGGCCAGGCTGGGTGTTACAGGGGGGGCCGCAAGTAGTACATGCGACACTGCCCAAGAAACTTTTGCAACTGCTTGTTCACGATTTGCGCAGCAGTGAGAACCTGGGCATACGTGGACCCAGCGCCCCCGGTCCCAGTAGCAGCCTGTCAGCACCTCCGTGAAGCAGCGCCTCAGGTCCTCCCTGCGCCGTCGCACTGCAGGAGATCCTCGGGGGCGGCCAATGGGAAGCGAAGTCGACGCTGAGCTGACTCCTCCAACTCTCTCTCTCTCTCTCTCTCTCTCTCTCTCTCTCCCCCTCTCTCTCTCTCACTCGTTGTTCTCCCTCTCTCTCTCGTTGTATATGTATATATATATATACATCACTATCTCTCTCGCTATCCCTCTCTCTCTCTCTCTTTCTCTCTCTCCCCCTCTGTCTCTCTCTATCTCTCTCTCTCGTTCTCTCTCCCTCTTGTCCTTCAGAAAAATTCTTGGCCATTTCCCTGGCGTTCATGCGGACGTTGTCGCACAGATAACTGGCCAACTCAGCGCCGTACGCTGCTCCCTGGACAGGCCCCCCCAAGAGAAACATCAGCTAACTCTTGAGGCTGCTGCTACACAAAGCCAGAGGCTGCATCTAATGTTTCATGTGCCTCCCCCGAAACAAACGAAAACCTCGTGAAACCATCCACCTCGTGAAGCCATCCACCTCCCCCGAAAGACCTGAGCCGCCTTCTCGCGTTGCTCCCCTGATGGCTGCACGACCCAGTCAAGGCGTTCAGCGGCAAGACGTTTGGCCCCGGCGATGAACCGAAGGAAATGCCCACCCATTCGAAGAAACAACGTCGAAATGAACATATTATTGATCAGCTGCCCCCCGGTCGCATCAGCCTTCCTCACGTCGTGAACTGTGCAGTTCGCAGCCAATTGAACGCAATGGTTGCTGCAGAGGAATCTGTCCGTGTAGATGGGGGCGCGATTGCACTCCATCTGCTCGTCAACTTCCTCGGGCAGGAGCTGACGGGCAAAGCAGAGTCGAGGAATGAGGATGGGAAGAGGGAGTCGCTTGAGTAGTTGGCGCGTCCTGAGAGTACCACCAATAATGCAACTTCTCATTCGCGAGGTGGCCGTCGCACTCGTGCAGCTTCGCGCCGATCCTCTGGACATGCGTTTGCTCGGTCGCTGCGCTAGGACCCTCCCCCTGCCCTCGAGGGTATTTGCAAGCTTCTAAGATACCGCAATTGTCCTCCCCAAACGCAATAGCTCTGAGCACAGCTTGTGAAGCTCTGTGAGCAGCGGGTGGAAGCACAGGCCACTGTTGAGATGTTCGGCACCGTTCGACACCAACGGAATAGGTGGCATGACAAACTCATGAAACACTTTCGGGCCTCGCAACCATGCGCAAACGATCTGCAGCCTGGACACGCAGACCTGCGAGATAGAGTGGCTGCTGAGAGGCACTGCAAGAACGTGGAGGAGAGAGGCTGATCAGGAGTCTGCGGGGCAGGGGAGAGGGAGGATCACAAGGGAAGAACTGTTGGTACTATCAAGGGCAAGGATGAGGAAGGCTCACAGGGGGAGGATGAGGAGGGGTTCACGATCCCCAGCGAGGCCCTGCCGCACCCATCCCCCCGCCCAGTAAGCTCGTGAGAACGCTTTCCTCCCCCTCCGCCTCACCCAATCACTTGCCATGGATTTCGGTTCCAAGAGCTCTCCCGCACCAATCCAATCGGGCCCCGGGGCATCCCCTCATTCTGGATACACCTGCAACCACCCGAGTGCAAGCAACAGACCTGCCATGTCGACGATTGCTGCTGCACGGTGGTGTCGGCCACGGCTGGCAGCTGCACCTTCTCGGAGGTCTCGTCCCACATGAGAGTGCATGCCACCACGTCCGGGCGGTGGTCGTGACAGTACCTCCCCTAACCTCCCGCGCCGCGATGGAGTGGAATCGCCATCCCTGCGGTGACCCTTCCCTTACATTGCACCTCACGAGCACTGATGCTGCCACTCTGGCTGTCGCTCCTGGTGATGCGTTCCTCGCTCCTTTCTCCCATGACCCCGCGGACCTGACGAGCTGTCGGAATTGCCATAGCTGCCGATCCACCACGGTGTCGGCCAGCGCGACGATGGAACGCCGCACCGTGGTTGTGTTCACCTCGAAAAACTCGGCGGCCCTCGCGCGCCCACCAGTCCTGAGGGAAGTGAGGCGGGAACGCGCTTCTTGCCCCCCATCACTTTTCCAAGTCGCCTAACTTCGCGCATCGCGCCTCGAGACGAGCGACGCGCAGTTATCTTCGCGCCCTTGCACCGCCGCCTGAGAGAAAGAGCATCGATTGCAGCCGAGGCCGCAAGGCGCGAGGCGCGATTATCTTCGCGCCCCTCTGTGGGTGACCTAGCTCTTCCTCGCCTCCAGATCCGACCTCCCCCCGTCCACTCCCACAATCCCTCTGCTCCTATCCATCCCCCTCACCATCCACTCCTGGAGAAGCCGACCTTCATCATGGCACCCCAGTCCAAGACGAAGCGCTTGCCACCGCCCTTGATGGTCATGCCACCTTTGCAGACAGCGGGCAGTAGGCAGCGGGCACGACGCAAGAAGAATGTGCAAGTCGGAGGGGATGGAGCTTGAAAGAGAGACGAGCGAGGACAAGAACGCTCTCTCTATATATATACACGTGTATTCGTACACACAATCATCATTCCCCTTATGATCTCTCTCTCTCTCTCCATATCTCTCTTGATAAACTCCCAGCCCACCGCGATGAGCAACAATAGAAGATGATCCAGATGGCTGGGCAGAACCGCCCTTCGCCTGACGCAGCAGCTTCCCCAACCTCGCAGCGCGCCCGGTCGCGGCCAGCAGCGCATGCTGGATGTCCTGCCGCGCTGCGGCAGGGCCACTCCCAAACACCGATGGCCCAGCCACCTCTGGCTCTTCCTGCGGTTCCTGGGAGCGTCCCGTTTCAATCGTGCAGGCTGGGAGGGAATGGGCAAGCGCGGCTAGAGGAGGGAAGGCGGATGATAGGGGGAGGTGGGAGGGCGGAGGAGGGAGGAAGTTGGGACAGGCGGTGGGGAGGGGGAGATATTGTTCCGCTCGTCTCCTCGATCAGGAGTCCCTGCTCCAACATCTCTCTCACGACGGCTTCCTCCTCCTCGACGACTTCGTCGTCAGCGTCGTCGTCGTCCCCCTCCTCCTCGATGACGACGCCATGGGCGCCCTCCCAATCATCAAGGAGATCCATGTCCCCGCGACGCGTGTCCTCCTTGAATTCTTGAGCCTGCCATCCCCGTCGGAGAAAGCGAGCGCGGATGAGTAAGGAGGGCACAGGCCATCCAATATCCAGGGATGAATGAGGAGGGGAATGAAGAAGAGGGAGGCGAGGGGGGACAGGGGAGGAAGCGGAGGGGAGGTGGGACGGTGAAAAGGAAGGCGGGCCTAGATGATGAAGGAAGATGAAGAGGGGAGGAGTAGGAGGAACAGGAGGAGGGGGCTGTAGGAGAAGGCGAAATGGTTTATCTTCCCCCTAATGTACGCGCGGGGTTCTCGTTATCAGTGCGATGCCTCTCTTCCCCTCGTCTATGACCCTTTCTCCGTCCCACACTCAAACTCATGCTCTCTCAGACTCACTCTCGACCACTCTTACACGCACGCACACTCACACTCAGACTCACACTCAACCGCTCTCTCACACACGCAGATCACACACTCACACTGTGTACCACATTTGTTGTTTCACATACAAAACCTTAAATCATTTTCTAACCAGAAACACATTTTCCACATGTATTGTTTTCACACAAGAAATGTTTTCCACATTTAGTTCTTCCACACACAAAATCTTTTCCACATTCATTTTTTCACGCACAAAATCTTTTCCACATTTACTTCTTCCACACACAAATTCTTTTCCACATCTGTTGCGTTCAGCGCACCACGCCCCCCGGAGACCTCGCTTAAAAAGACCTTAAAACATGATTTGACACCCATCCAATATATATCATTAAAATTATTTTTCATGTTTTCCATATTTTTATACTTTCATCAATGCAACAAGAAAAGGTCCGCGCGAGGGCGCGAGGGCGAGCGCGTGCACGGGGGACGGACGCCCGAGCGAGGGCACGGAGGGGGAGATCACCACCACCAGAGAGGGACCTCCCGGGAGCCTGGCGAGGGGTGTGCGGTGGTGCCGCCCCGGTCTGCTCCGGGAGCAGCCTGTGGGAATAAAAAACACACAGGGGGGCAAACACACACACACAGTGCTTTTGTTGTGCTGTTTTCTTCCCCACAGTGTGTGTGTGTGTGTGTGTTTGTGTGCTTTTCCCACGGGGCGCGAGCACGGCGGCACCGCGCACCGGGCGGAGCGCGCGGCGGAGCCTCCGCGGGCAAGGTGCCCGAGATGATGCTGTCCTCCATGAGCGACCCCGCGGACGCGGACGAGGCGCGGCGGGGGCCGGGCCCGGAGGCCACAGCGAGAGGCGGCGGGGCGCACGCGAGAGAGAGAGAGAGAGTCCCGAATCATCAGGGGTAACTCGGGTCAGGGCTAACTCGGGTTCGCTTTTCGGGAATCCGAACCCGAGTTACCCCGGGCCCGACTTACCCTGGATAATTCGGGCGTCCAGAGCCCCAAATCATCAGGGGTAACTCGGGTCAGGGCTAACTCGGGCTCGTTTTTCGGGAATCCGAACCCGCGTAACCCTGGACCTGAGTTACCCCGGATAACTCGGGCGCCCAAGAGAGAGAGACAGATGGACAGAGCGGGGGGTGGGGGACAGAGAGAGAGAGAGAGAGAAAGAGACGCGGAGGGAGGGAGTAGAGGGAGTGCGGCATGGAGAAAGGGGGGAGGGCGCGCAGCAGGAGGAGGGCGGAGGGAGGAGGAGAGAGGAGGGATGAAAGGAAGGCCTGAAGGACGGGAGGATCAGTTGTTTTTCACTGGCGCAGCGCTGCCCACAATCAAGCGATCAAGGCTTCACGTGTACGTGGGCCAACTTAGGGTGCGTACCTTTCGAGACCTTGCTGCATGCTTCGGCGGCACATTCAGACACTGCTTTTGTGTTTGAGGGCAGTGTCTGTAAGACAATCCTGAGCAAGATTGTGAAACTGACATCCAGTTGTATACGCCGTGCATGTGGAGCAGGCATATAGCATCAAATGACGCGAAGATCGGGACAACATCGGATCGGGATAACTCGAAATCTCTGAGAATCGGCGGGTTTGGAGGATGTATTGGGCGCTGCGGCCGCTCCAGAGCGTTCCGGAACGCTCTGAGAGCGCTCCGGAACGCTCTGGAGCGATTTATCCCGATCTTAGCCCTGTTTTATAGCAACGTCGTTCGGTGCAAGAGAAGACCTTAAGCGAGTGCTTGCGCTGCCCAATCTCGAGGGCCACTGCGGGCAACTCACCCGAACAGTTCATATTCTTCGGAGGCGTCTGCTCACCTGAAGGAGCGGCACTGACCCACTCGTGCAACATGCCAGGTGAATTCGACGCCTGCTGCCGCGAGGAGGAGGGACTCGAGGGACGTTGACGAGATCCAGCCTTCTCCCACTCGGCACGAGGCGTTCTCTTCAAGGACACAGATGTTGGGGGCAGTATCGGCTTGATCGCAGATTGCTTGCAACTCGTTGGGCGATGCTCCTGGGTGGCTCCACGCTCCCCGCTTAGCAGCGGCATCCGTCTCTTCATTCCCTTGCTTGGAACATAGTCATCTTCGCTAAGCTCGCCGTCGCCCACGACTGTGAGCTTTCATGTTGCGAACATGAGAATATCACCTGCCAGACTCATTTAAGATTGTTCCCGCGTGCAGCTACTTATGGGATCCGCAGCCATTTTGGCTCAAGCCCTTCTGGCTCAGGCTTTTCTGTGCCAGTTTTACCCTGTGCTGTTACCATCAGTGTGCTGGCTTGAGAGCCTCCTCTGAGGTTAAAGCAAGGTATCAAAATTTCTTCTCAGTTGCAGCCATGGCGCCTGCTCACAGTGCTGTCGCTCCTTGGACTCGTTCAGGGACCACGGCTAGTGGCGAAGAAGGCTCAGCCTGAGCCTCTCTTTCAGCCAATGGCAAGTTGTGGACCTGCGGCAGTTGTGGATGCAAGCGCAACAAGGTGTCATGGTGGTTATGCAAGCATTGCAAAGTTGCCCGTCACTCTTCTTTCGACTCTGGCAAGTACACCACGTCGTGGGGCGGCAACTGGTACGCGGGCGGCGAACACGACTGGCATGCCCTTCCCCTGCGCGCTGGTCCACAGTTCGCCCAGTACTACGGCGGTTCAGGCGCTGCTGGAGGTTCAGGCAATGGAGGAGTGTGGTCATCCCCCCATGTGGACCACGCGGACACTTCCATTCATGAGTTGGAGAAGTTTGTGGATCTATTCTCTAAATGTGGAGGCAAGGCGGGCGTTCGTCGGCATCAGCTCGCACTTGATCATAAGAAGCGCGTGGCGTCAGCCCCCGCTGTACCGTTGCAGGCCAAGGTCAACAAGGCTTTCCACGAGCTGCGCCAGCTGCGGGAGAGGACGGACAAGGCGTGCAACGTGCACGAGAAGATGGAGGAGGAACTGTCGCAGCAGCGAGGCCGCATCAAGACGCTCTCGGAGGAGCTCAAGCTGGCGGAGAAGGCACACACCAGGCTCGTGCAGCAGCTGCTCGAGGAGGTGGCGGCGCCACCTGTGTCGGCCCCTCCGCCAGCAGCGAGCCTTGATATTGCGGCCATCATTCAAGGCAAGGCTGAAGAGATTCCTATCTCGATTGACTCACTGTTGGCCCCCCATGACGATTTCGAGATCGCAGGGAAGGATCTTGAGGAGGCCAACCGTCGCGCCCAGGAGATCAAGCAATCGCTGCAAGATGCAGTTCGAAAGTTGTTCGGAGATGCGCCGGAGAGGACACAGGCGTTCCAGGCCGAACAGAAGAAGATGCTGGAGCGTCTCTCGTCCAAGAGGAGGCGCCAGGACGGAGATGGCGAGGAGGCAGCTGTAGGTGCTGTTGGAGGCGCGCCAGCTGCGGGTGCGGATGGCGTCCCAGCAGGCCCAGGAGTGGCTGCCTCAGCTTCATCATCAGACGGCCCTGGTGAAAGCGCGGCTGCAGCCGCGTCACCAGATCGCGAAGATGCACGAGCCCGTGCTGAGCGCCTTTTGCCACAGGTTCCCCCCCGCCGCCGAGGGGCAGCGGGGGGGCCCAGTTGCCGCGTGATTCTTTCAAGTCTAACATTACCCTCTCGGCCTGCCGGCCTCACCTCCGTCGTTCCCTCCGCTCGAATAGTGGCGTTCGCACCTCTGGCTGTAGAGGCCTGAAGGCTGCTGTGTGCCATGCGCTGTGGAGGTCTCGTCGGATTTTGTCAGGTGGTTGCCAAAGGTTCGACTCTCTGCAGGTGGCTCTATCTAAGCCTGCGAATTTTGCGAGGCCTGGTCCAGCTTGCCCTGCGTTGGCTGCCCCAGGCTTTCAGTTCCCGATCGAGGTGGCGCCTGGTCCCAGGATCTCCCAGGCTCCTCTCCCCTGCTCCTCCCTTCCCCCTCCTGGGTCCCTGGAGTCGGATGGGCTGAGCTCTGTCGCCCTTTCAGTTCGCGCCCTCAACTGCAAGAGTTGGGGCGCCCTGAAGAGAATGCTTCCTCGCGCGCCTTCTACGACCCTGCTGGTGCAGGAACGCAGGCTGGATGCTCAGGAAGAAATCGATGTTGCCTCCTCGTGGTGTGCTCGCAACGTTTGGAAAGCGCCGTGGACCCCTGCCGTGCTCACCGACAAGGGGACCTCAGGAGGCACCGCCATCTTAGCCAAGGGCTGGCTTGGTCTTACCCCCCCCCTGGTCACGCTAGGTTTCCTGGGCGAGCTACTCAAGGGGTTATCCAAGTTCCAGGGGGTCTCAGTTATCACATGTTTTCGATCTACTTGCATGTCGCTGAAGGTCTGTCCGAGAGAAACATGGAGTTGTTAAGTCGAGTTGGGGTTTGTGCCTCCGTCTGCTGATCTAGCTTTGTCGTTGGCGGAGATTTTAACGTCTCTCCAGGAGAGCTTGTCAGCAGTAAGTTGACCGGTCAGCTTCAGGGCCTGCTCATCAACCCTGAGGGCCGCGCGCACCTCGGATCAGGATCCCCTTCGACTCTGGAGTATTTCGTTTGCAGCGGTGGGTTGGGGAAAGCGGTTGCGTCGTGCAGGATCGATCTGGAGACGGAGCTCAGTCCTCATCGGCCCGTGGACCTCGTTTTTCACAAGTCTCCCGCTGATCTCAAGGCTCTCAGCTTCAGGAAGCCCCCCCCCCGCTGCCACGTGGTCGAGTCATGGGGCCGACGCTGCCTCCGCCATGCTGGGGCCAAGTCATTTCGCGCGCTCGGGCTGGCCTTGATGCGGACGCTGCTGGCAATGCTGTTTCTGCCCTCAGTCATCTTTCCCCTGCCAACGGGGCGCGGGCAGATAAGGCGGAGGAGGAGTTGGTCCATGTGCTGGGAGCCGACCTGGTGAAGATGGGGAGCAGGAGTAAGGGGCCTCAGCTAGTTTGGAAGAGCTTAGTTGGGCGGGACATGCAACCTAGGTATCCTGAGCATCGCGCCATCCAGTGGCTGGTGGCTCAGTTTAGGGCGTTCTTGGGGCTGCAGCGGGCCAGCCGAGCTTGCGGAGACCAGGCCGCCAGCTTGCGTGGTTTGCTTGTCAGTCCCCCCTCCTGCATTGCCAGCCATTCGGACAAGTATGTTTCTTATTTTAGTCGAGTCAGAGAATACTTGCTCACGCTGGAAGGAGATTCCCGCCAGGCCCCCCTCGCCAAAATCATCCGTGGTGAAGAGCTTCTCGACACCCTGGTTGCGGTCCTTGAGGGGGCCACTGGAGAGTTCGGGTCTCGCGCCCAGGCGGACTGGAGAGCCTGGCTCACCGAGGGAATAGATCAAGGAGCTCGCAGGGTCCACGCCATCGCCCGAGACCCCTCCCCTTGGGCCCTTACCACGACCCTTGCTCGAGACGGATCGGTCGTTGCCGACCCCCTCTCGCCCCTTGCCAGCGAAGGTTCTAAGTTTGCCAGCTTGTGGAAGGAAGGTTCGGGCAACCCCTCCTGCTGCGCGTTAGTTGAAGCGCTCCCCCGCGCTGGCCCTGCCCAGCTTAGCTCAGTCAGTAAGAAGTGCAAGAGAACTTCGGCGGTCACCTACGACAGTTTCGACTGTCGTCATGTCTCCACTTCTTGTGTGACGATGGATTGATAGCGCTTGGCATGCCGTTTCAGCTGATGGCGTCGGTTGGCCGGCTTCCCCGTCAGATCTCTGCCGTGTTGCTTGCTTTGCTCTCGAAACCCAGCGGTTGTTACAGGCCGATAGGGGTGTTGTGCTCCTGGTATAGGGTCTGGGGGCGACTTCGGCGCCCCCAGGCCCTATACTGGGAACAGCAACATCCCCGTCGGTACTGGGCTGCTGGGGCGTTCCGCGGAGCTGCGGATGCGGTGCGGCGTCAGGCGTTCCGTGCTGA